AACAACCCATGAAAATGTACAGACAAGGGAAAATAAGTCTCCTCTTTCTGCCCCTCACCAAGGAATGAAAATATTTGGAATTGACATCCCCTTCTTTGAACCAATTGAGTTGAGTTTTTTTCTTTAAAATAGATTCCTCCCGTTTCAAGAACCTTAAATATTCAGCATTAACACAATGCTGCTTGGATCTATTCCCCTAAGAGTCGTTCATGATTTCCTCTTCAACAGTTCTAACCTTTTCCTCAGTCTTTAACTGTTGCAAATATATCACCATACTCTTTTTATGACCAGGTACTAAGAGTACTAGCCAATCTCCTCATTTTCTGATGTAGTTTCCACATGAGGTTACTTATAGTTTCCCTATCCTAACAGCTCTTGACTGTATCTATAAATTACTCACTTTTAGTCCAGAGATACAGGAATTTGAAATATTTAGTCACATGCTCCTCTCTCACCACTATTTCCACTAGTAATGGATTGTGATCAGATCCAACAACTGGTAAATAAGTAATGGTTTTTTGGGGAATGATTTCAAGACACTTATCATTCACCATGGCTCTACCAAGACTTTTACATACCCTAGCATTAGGAGCTCTTTGGTTGCACCAAGTAAAGTGTTGTCTAATATATCTAAAATCCACCAGACCGCAAGCCTCAATAATACTAATGAAATCAAAACTTTTATTCATGTTGTAAGGAAAACATCTGTTATTTTCTTCAGTAGAGATAATGACATTAAACTCTCATATGGTGCACCAAGATTTATCCATATTAGAGAAGTGTAAAAATCTATCCCACAGGGGCCTCTTGAGATGACCTTTACACTTAGAATAGATAAAGGAAATGATTAAATTTTCAAAAAATTCCACATGCTTAAGATCACAAGTGATGTGTTGTTCAACATATGGTTTCCATACACGTTACATTTATTTCTTAGATTTCTAGTATTTTCATAACCTGAACTTACATTACATTTTTGTTATTAGGTTCCAATCCACTCTATGTTTCATTTAATTTCTTATTCTTGGCTGAGATTCTCTTTGTTTCCCAATTTGTATATTTAGTTTTTCTCTTATTTAATCTAGCCCTTCTTTATGTCCGTGCAAGATTTATCAAAATATTGGAGGAAAATTTTAGTGAAAAGGGAAAACCAGAGAAAGTGGATTATTTATCTTCGAGGACTGGATAAAAGGATCAGGCCTACCTTTATCATAGCAAATAATATTTTGATGCTTTGAAATGTGGATGGAAACAAGTTGTTGCAGTTTATGTCATTAATGGTGGAGATGATTATCTTTAACATCTTGTAGATCAGCAGAAATATCTTTTGATAAGTCTTACTGTTTCCGGATGTTTCGATGATCGCCTCACAAATGCAGGAACCCGCTCCTCTGCATAGTTTACTCGTCTAGGTCTGTGTGCTATACATCTAGAAAGTTGTCGCATCAGAAGTTGGTGAGGTCGCCAGTGTACCACACCAATCAGAATGGACAAGGTTGTTTTGTCCAATGGTCAGTAATCTTTATGGTTAATATAGTCAACATGATGTCACGACCCGATTTCTCGAGTCATGATGGCACCTACTATACCCTACCAGTAGGTAAGCCAACCCGTAACCCAGAACATCAAGCAATGAGCAAAAGGGCAGAAACTAGCGAAAACAATAATCTAAACAAGGATAACAAGGCGGAAGCAACCCAAAATAAATATATACAGAAATCCCTCCCAGAACCTGGAAGTCACTAGTACAGAGCTATCTAATAAAGAGTACAAGTCCCAAAAGTGGACCACAACAGAGCGTGTCTCAAAGGTAACAAGACTAGCTAAAACAAAAGAAGGGGACAGAACAAACCCCAAAACGCCAAGTGCTCGCCCTCGTCTACGAATCACAGCTGCAAAAAAAGGCTGGAACTAATCACCGCTGGTAACTGGTATTGGGACCTGCATCACGAAATAGATGTAGAGCGTAGCATGAGTACCAACACAACAGGTACTCAGTAGGCATCATAGGTCGACTGAGCAAAAAGGTAAGAACAATAAGAAAGGATAGAATCTAGACACAGAGAGGTCAAAGCGGATAAGAAAAGAAAGCACACGAGCATACCAGAAACAAACTAAGTACAACTAAACCAAACCTAACTCGACCCCATATGCCCATAAGGTACACTCCTGCGCAAGCTCAAATAAAACTTGAACGAACCCCCATAAGCCCGACAGGTACACAAAAAA